TTTCTGTAAGAAATACCATTTGCCTGCAAGCAAGAACTGGTGGGACCACAAAACAGGCAAAGTAATAGAAAATGAAGAAACTAAAGTGCTCTGGAATTCAAACACACAAGCACCTGCCACATAACACCTCAGACTAAACAACTGTTGATAAGAAAGACAAAAAAGTCTAGATAGTGGACATTGCAATAACTGGAGACAGCAGAATAGAAGAGAAAGAACTGGAGAAAATCACAAAATACAAAGGCCTGCAAATAGAACAACTGGCAAGAGAAAGCAAAGATAGTACCAATACTAATAGGTGACTTGGGTACAATTCTAAAACATCTGGAGCACCACTCGAACACCATTGGCATTGACAGAATTGCTATCAGTCAATTGCAAAAGGCAACTTTACTTGGAACACCTTATATCCTACGACAATACCTTTAACAGCATCAGACAACAACATCTGCCTATCCCAGGTCCTTGGGAGGAACTTGATAGGTGGATAAAAATGCCAAATCCAGTCTAAACATCTGGCTGACTGTGCAACCAACCATAATAATAATAAATATTCCCTCAATATTGTGCAAGACTGCATTATGGTACTTGTCTAATTGCATGATGATGATCTGAATTTTACTAATCAAATTTTTTTCCTAATCCTCAATCCATATTTACACTATTCTATTAGTTTTGGTGTACGTGTGTTTGTGTGTGTGAATGGGATTATTGCTTATTCTTGAGCACCAGGGGGCTATGTGTGGTGGGTTTTCTGTGTTTTAATCTTTGTAAGCCATACAGAGTCACTTGTGTGAGACGGGTGGGTATATGAACCATATAAAGAATAAATAAATAAATTTACGAATGTTCTCTTCAGCAGCAGATAATGAACTTCTTCCACAAGTATTTGAGAGTGTATCCCATCTCCTCTTTTGCTTTCCTAACTACATCGTTTCTTTAGCAATTCCTGACATAAGTTGTTTTCTGTATGACTGTCCATCTTTATTGACCTCTTCTAGCCTATGTGGTTCCAGATGAGTTCTAACTAGTACAGAACAGTGATTTTCTAACTGTTTAATGCAAGGTGGGTATCAAATCTGAACTGGCTCATAAGCCATTTCAGAAGCCAATTTAAAGATAACAACTGGCAGTTCGGCAATTTCCATTGATGGACCTTTCAACTCCCCCCCTCCCCCAAGAATATCCCCAAACACATCAAAAATATAAGGACTCCTTAGGAACCAAACAAAGCTCTGTTCAAGCTTATCATTAAACTTAATAATAGCTGACCTCATTGTTGGCAGCAATTTTAAGTGTTATTAGCTATTTCAGTCAGTTATCTCTTATGCTGAGTGCTTCTATTATTTGTCTATCACTGGAAGGTGGAACTCACAGAAAATTATCTTTCTGTGATGATTAAGTGACTTATGAAAATGGGTATCTGTATATAGCAGAACCTTAAAAAGCCTGAAATTGAACAGCAATATCACATTAACTGTGTGCCTAGTTATCTCACCTGAGTATAAAAGAAAAGATTGAAATTAGAGTCCCCTTGTGCATTATCATCACAAAATGCCCCCAAGAAGTCACAGACACAACAAAAGAAACAAAGGGTTCATATTTTTGATCCATTATAAGTTGGATGAATTGATGCAGCTAAAATCCATTCTATACTACATGTACCTTTCCCACCTTTTATAAGAACCATATTAAGAAAAAAAATGCAAACACTAGGTACTTGGAGACATTTTTTTCCCTTTGCCTTGAACATTAAGCTTAAGCTTAAAATTATTAATTGCCAAGGTTCTAACTGGTGAAGCAGCTCATGGCACCCATTATTGATCAGCAACTTTGGCTGCCAAGGGAATTCAAAGTAAGAGCTTCAACATCTGAGTCAAGTATCATACACAGTTGCTTGCTTGCTTTTACATTTGCAGTTTAAAAAAATAGAGTATCTGAGCTATTGTTTGCTGATCTCAAAATTGTTGTTCAGCACAACAGAAAACCCAGAAAATACACGAGAGATACATATATTGAACAGCTGGAAAGCAATTATATTGTTATAAAAGTGAGAAATTACAGTTTGATTTTCATCCCTTTCTATTTTTTTTCTTATTAAAAAGAAAATAATACAGTTGCCCTGATAATAACATCAAAAACTCACACCATCACACCATGTACTTTTCCCCTCTGAATTAGAATGTTGTGTTTTTTAGAATATGATCTCACAATGGTTCTTTGCTTACAATTAATCACACACAGAGATATTAATATGATCCAAAAATAGGGCTCCCAACTTATGCTAATGTGAAGGCTGTAGTTGCATCTTGCCTTCTTTTGCAGAAACAAGGTGGGTGGATGGAAATACAAACTGATTAATCTTTTCCTTCAAACTACTCTCTCAATAAAAATATCCCCATCTCCCAAGCTTCAGTTTTACTCTGAGGCAACCTCCTATTCAATTTAGGAAATTTATAAGAAAAGAGGCAGCTTCCTTTTTTTCTGACAATGTCCCAGAAGAGGATGGATTGACCCACTTTTCACTCTGCTGAACACTTTCTCTCCCTTGTAATACAATAACGTATAATAAAATATGTTGGATATTTAACCCTGTGCCTTTATTTAAAACACCTCTAATTTGGTTCTTATAAAGTAACATTTGAGACAATTGTGGCCCATATTTCTTTGAATACATGTTTCTATTATCTAGTCATAACTATTAAGATATGATGCAGAGGCAAAAGGAAAGTTCGATCCTGCAAAGATTGATCAATCAATCAATCAATCAATCAATCAATCAATCAATCAATGGTACATGGAATATTAGTACCATGAACCAAGGCAAACTTAATATCATCAGAGTAGAAATGTCAAAACACAAGAAAATAAAACAAAGCAAAAAAATGGTGTAAAATAACAGTGTCTAAGTCATGGCTAGAAGTGAGGAAAACTTGAGATATCATCTTGAAGGTGAAAAAAGAAAATGCAAAAGTCAGTCTGCTGTTCAATATTAGAAGCAAAAACAAAACTTAAGATTATATCAACTGAATACAAATAGAGAAAAATTGGAGATACTAACAGACTTCACTTTCCTAGGTCTAAAAAAATGTGCAGGCATGGTGAAAGAAGCCATGAAATAAAGAGGTGTTACTTGGAAAAAGGCTATGACAAATCTAGACAACATATTAAAGTCCAGAAGCATCAACAACTAATGTACATATTGTCAAGGCCATGGTTTTCTAGCTGTAATATATGGCTGTCAAAGACTACATTGGGATGCTGGAGAAAACTGTTGATAACACCTTGGACTGCCAGAAGAAAAATCACTAAGTGTAACCAGACTACTCACCGGAAGCACTAACAATGAATCTATTTTAGACACATAATGTGAAGACAAGAGTCACTGGAGAAGAGCCTGATGTTTGGAAAAATTGAAGGTAATTGAAAAAGAGGTTCACAGAAGACAAGGTATCTAGATACTCTCACTGATACCTGCTGATGACACCAGCATGAACTTACAGGGACTGTTAAGAAACAGCTACTGACAGACAGTCCTGGTAAAACAACTTCCATCAGTTCCTGAAGAGCTGGAAGTGCTTGAACAACTGAACAAGTAAAAACTAGCTTTAGATACACAAAACTCTTTGCAGCCTGACGTTATGAAGATAAACAATGGCTATTTGAGAGAGTTGATGCAAAGACATCTATAATCTGCTCTGATTGAAAAAAAAAAAGGTTTTTGAGCACTGTGGCATAATTTCTATTTT